ATCAATGGCTTATTGATCATTATGGTGTTATCAATCATTTAGTTGTTGTTGCTAGTTTGAGTTGAGAAATACACATTTCAGAATTATCACTAATCTGTGTGTGCATTTTGCTTTAGAACCAAGCAAGTTCACTCATGAAACCATTTGTTAATTATATCGCTATCGCAATATTGACCTCAATAATCGCAATATGACATTTTCCCCAAATCGTGCAGCCCTATTATGAAGCGACGAGAATACTTTTTGTGCGCAAAAAACCCTCAAAAATAACGACTTTATTGAACAATCTCTTCCACGTCATTCTCCTCTGCTGTTGACGTAGTGTAACAGCGCAGCGCTTCCTGGTTCTACGTCAGAACGCCGGCTCACTATTGGCTGACGCTGGTCATGTGAGCACCACGACACTAGCGTGTGATGCTGAGGCAGCCAATAGTGAGCCGGCGTTCTGACGTAGAACCAGGAAGCGCTGCGCTGTTAACACTACGTCAACAGCAGAGGAGAATGACGTGGAAGAGAAGAAATTGTTGAACAAAGTCGTTATTTTTTAGTTTTATTTGCCATAGACTGTAAAGAGATATGGGCGTAGTGTGCATGACGTCACCCGTTGTGTTTCTGAAGAGTGTTTTTGAAGCCCAAAGTGGGCGGAGCCGGCTGTCGCCATCTTGGCTCGCGGATAACCGGAAATGTGCAGCGAGGCGGATTAGCTGAGAGTGACGCTAACCGTAGACATAATAAATAGATGCCCTATTGGCCGCTGGAGCGTACGTCAACGGCGCCGCCATGTTGGGGATGGCAACTTTCCCATACTTCTCATACCGGGAATTGAGAAAAGTGCCTGTTTTGTGCGCTGTTTGGGGCTGTACACATCGCCACACAATTGAAAACAGCTTTCGAGGAATTACCTTTCACAAGCAAGACTGAACGTTTGTTTTTGGTTGTATTTGGTCATGATTTAATTAGTAATAGTAACGTTCAGAGGATAAATTTAAAAATACTACTGTTATTGTGTCACGAAATGGAGTTTTAATAGTTTTTCAGTCGACAATGTAGTGGTTTAAAGCTCAAATCTGTGGTTTGTTTATAAAGATAGCGCCTATTTAAAAATTTGATCTGACGTTTTCGGAGTTGTAAGATGCGCTCAGCGCTCGTCTAGCCCGCCTGGAACAGCCGTACCTCGGCCAGTGCTTCTGAAGTGTTGCCGCTGACTCGGATGTCTGTAGTCTAGTGGTTAAACATGAGATATTATTCGTCTTGTGTATATCTAACGGGCGATCTTTGGTCTCATTAATCTATAAATGGTTCCCTGGCAAATCGTTTTGGCTGAGGGCAAAGTGAAGTTTCATAACTTTATATTTAGGCTATTTTAACGTTGTATCCTGCTGTATGTTTGACTGAAGCTACTTCTGTTATACTGATCAATAAAACTGAAATTTAACAAAAAGAGTTAAATATTACAGGGAACTACACTAACCTTTTCCACTGGTGGCACTTGCGCTACTAACTTTTTCAGTTACTGGCGCAAAACATGATTTGGTCGCACAAATTATTTATAGTAAGCCGCTCTCTGGATAATAATGAACAATAATGAAACTGTACTGCATTAAGGGTGGAACGGTACACAGAAGTCACGGTTGGGTTCATACCGTGGTTCAGACATCACGGTTCGGTACGATTTCGGTACAATGGAGTGAAAAGCAAAACAAAAATGCAGAAGGTATTTTTATAAATGTCTTAAGCCTTGTATTTTTAAGTTTTATTAATAAAGACATAGAACCAGTTTATTTGTAGTGCACTGACAATAGTTTTATATAATTAGTTTATTAATTAAATTAATAAAAAGACAAAATGACCTTGATATATGTTTGGTAATTGTACCTGAATGAATTTAAAATTAATTTGCTATATTTCAGATCAATATATATTGTTTTCCTTAATTTTAATTAACCCTAACTTTATTATCATCTGAATTATAAATAAATGATTTCCGTATAAAATAATTACCATTAAAAACACATTTGATTTTCTTTTTTAATCAATGTAGAATGTGTAACTTAAAAATAAACAGATTAGTGCTCCGACTCCGAGGACAAGAAATGAAAACCATGTGATGAATCTCCAAAAGATGGAACACACAGACTGTTTTTAAATGGGGTTGGATAAATGTTTTGCTTTTAAAACGGTGTGTGTGTTTGTGTGTGTTTGTGTGTGTTTGTGTGTGTTTGTGTGTGTTTGTGTGTGTTTGTGTGTGTGTGTGTGTGTGTGTGTGTGTGTGGTTGGGTTACAGTTGTAGGTTACAGTTTGACAAGAGTTTAGTGTGTGACAAAAGCACAATGTTGTGTTTTATTGCGAGTGTACACAAATATAAGTAAACACTTTGCAGTTTGAATCATGTCCCGTATGAAAAAAATGACCGAGTATGTTTTTATGTTTCCACTGTTCGATCGCGCCCGCGTCTCTCTCTCACACACACAAACACACACACACACACACACACACACACACACACACACACACACACACACACACACACACACACATAGTTCGATCGCGCCCGCGCTTCTCTCTCTCACACACACACACAGAGTTCGATCGTGCCCGCGTCTCTCTCTCACACACACACAGAGTTCGATCGCGCCCGCGTCTCTCTCTCTCTCTCGCGGGGCTGAAGCCAACTGATGTGTTGAATGCTCAGAGCACGTTATACAAACGTATACTTAAAATAGGCTACACATTTCTGTTTTAATAAATGCTCATAGTAAATCGTAGCATATTGCCTAAAACATAAGGTAGGTACAAAAATAGTCAGTGATACATTTGCGACCCATTAAAAATTAGGGTCGCAATGGCATTTCAAAAGGTCGCATATGCGACCATTTTGGTCGCAGTGTAGTTCCCTGTATTAAAGTCACTATTTAACTTATTTTTTATTGTATATATTCTGTAATTGATATTTCTTATTCTATTGCTATTATTATAGTATTATTAATAAACTATATGCTATTGTCAATATTTTTATGATTGTATTATTGTACTTATGATATTATATAATTATACTATTCATTACTATTTTGTTTGCTGTATACTATTTGTTTATTTTATTGACTAAACTATTTACTATTACTTCTCACTTTGTTATATTTACTATTTGCATTGCACTATAGTTGTACGGTAACATATGTATTATCATAAAGGATCCATCAGTTATCTTTGTTATTGCTAAAATCTGGTCAATCACAGAAAATGCTTTTTCCACAATAAGAAAACTTAAATTATATCTCAGTATGGGGGTCTTCACCATTCTTATCCAAGAATAAAAAGCCAGATACATGACAAGCCTGAGCTTTGACCATTCTTTATTAAAAAAAAATATTTTACAAGTCTAACTACTATCGATATTTTAAATAAACAGAGATGGAACTTTTTGTACACCACATACAAACCACTGAAATCGGTTGATAAATGTAAAAACAGTTTGTTTTTATCCAGAAAAAACGCAGCTCCCCCGTTTACTTACATTTGTTCACAGCGCAGTCTTGCCCTCCGCAAAATGGCGGACCCGTTGACGTATCGCAGCAACGTTCCAAAGCGGCCAATAGGGCGTCTATGTATTTATTATGTCTATGACGCTAACACACAGCAGACAAACGCTAGCAGTGACATCAGCGGCAATCCACCTGTCACTCAAGTGGCCACGCCCTTAATTATGCAGAACTTTAAGGCTTAATATAATTTAAACGGATGAGTTATAAAAAAAATCATCTTCCTCACAGTCGTCATGAAGGGCAACATTATCTATATAGACCAAAACCACTTTTTACACCAGACTGTAAACATGTTTATTTCTGCTGTAAAGTTGGTCATTTTAACATGCGGGTCTATGGGATTGAGTCTCTTCTGCAGCCGGCCTCTAGTGGCCAATGGAGGAACTGCAGTTTAACTCACTTCAGTGTTGATTCGAGAGAGCGATTGGAAAATTGCTGCTTGGTTTTTGCGCACAAAAAGTTTTCTCGTTGCTTTTTATTTAGGTTGATCCACTCGAGTCACATGGACTATTTTAACAATGTGTTATTCCTGATCAGAAACCTCTTGAGTTGAGTTGAGTTGAAGTTTTATTTGCCATTTGTACCAGTACAGCTAGTACAAGTTTAGGATTTTTTGTAGCAAAGCTCATTGAGTCAACATTAAAGAGTCAACATAAAAGAACTAACAAAACTACACACAATAAATGGACTTTGAGAAGGTGCAGTAAACGAAGAACAGCATAAACCTACAACAAACAAACACAATAAAGATGTGGATTTAAAGATCTTGGATCTCATCAAAAATATCTTCATTTGTGATCTGAAGGTCTAATGCGTTTGGAATGACATGAGGGTCAGTAATTACTGACAGAAACTTAATTTTAGGGTGAACTAACCATTTAATATATCTTCTGGCTTAATTCTGGATGTCTTGATACGGTCACGTTCTCATAGGTTGTTCTGAGTGTTTTAGGTAGTTACTGTGCAGTTGTTAATTGTTTTTGGTCCATTTTTTAGTCTGTGCATCTGATCACTTAGCAGCACACTGTCCTCAACACTACTGATGATTGACTTGTACATTAGTCAAGTCAGCTTTATTTATATAGTGCTTTTTATAATACAGATTGTTTCAAAGCAGCTTTACAGACACAAGTAATGCAATAGTAATACAGGAAAATAATGCAACAAAGTTTGTTTCCAGAAGAAAATAAGTGTCGTAGTCCAGCTTAAGTAAGCTCAGTGATGTTTAATTTTTGTTGTAAAGTTATTTAGTTAATTTATTTATATATATATATATATATCGGTCTGGAGAAAACCGTGATGTCATCATCCAGCTCAGTTCAGTTCTCATATAATGCTGTCAATGCAGGAGATCAATAATATTGTTGAATATTAAATTAAATGTCCTTCATAACTAAACCACACTGACTCAAATGTATTCACATGTCTAATTTTGTCTGTCTGTCTGTCTGTCTGTAGCCCAGCGTGTTGATCGTCAGCTATATTGAGTCTGGGAAAGCGGCCGCTCAGTTCGGCTTCTATCAGCAGGTGGAGTGGAAACCCGACGACTCCATGATCGCAGTAGCGGTGAGTAAAACACGTCTGTGTGTGTGTGTGTATGTGTGAGCACGCTTCTGTGCAGCACATTGATGATGCGCTCCGTCCCGTCGGTTCGATCTGAGGTTTTATTTAGTTCCTCCAGAGTTGCTCTTATGCTTCAAATCAAACCTGTCTCTATGGTTTTCTCTGAGCCGTTTGCTGCAGATCGTCTCCAGACGGATATTTCTGGCTCTGAATGTGTGTGTCTGTACATGAACACAACACAACCAAGACCAAAACATACTCGACACTAGGGCTTGCACAGACTAGTCAAGAGATCCACTAGTCGGCGCTGTTGGAAACAATCGACAACTCGAGCGCCCATTAAAGCTGCAGTCGGCAAGTCTGGCAGATTGAGTGGATTTAGGAAAATTTTGAATGTTTACAACTCTCATGCCCCTCCCCCACTATCAACGGATACCCTCCCACCCAGTTCATACTCGTCAGTGCGTGTGCACCAGATTTTCAGTGAACGCCAGGGCTCTCAAGTGTCACTCATTTCGGTCTTCTGTCACGCTCTCCCGCCACACATTGTATTTCTCACGCTGAAAAACTATTTGTAATATATTTAATATGCCGCCGCGCCCAAAACTCTGGCCGCGCCGCTCTCACTGTGGAACCGGCATGAATCAAGCGCGTTTCCTCTGGTGTTGTTCGTCGAGCTACACAATAGCCAATCAGAAAATAGCACTATTGTATCTGGTTAGGGTTAGGGTTAGAAGCTCGGTTTTTTTTCTAAAACCACTTTATTTATGTTGTTCTGTCAGATTATAGTGTCGATTTCACTGAATATGATCAAAAAAATTTTGCCAACGGCAGCTTTAATAAAATAAAATGAAAGAATTCAAAATGGCGAACATCACCAACAAACATCAGATGTGTGGAATTATTTCTTCAAAGATGACAAAAATATCGTAATTTGCCAATTCTGTAAGAGGCCGCTCACATATCACTCCTAAAAACACTCTCCGTCTTTCCTCCCGTGGCGTCTGTCGATGCAATACAACCATGAACTGCGCTCTCCGTGAGGACAAGGAAGTATCAGCAAAGGATTATTGATTTCTAGCCCTTGCATTAGCTTTACTACTAGATCTATTTATGGAGATGAGCAATAAAAGCCCGCAGTGAACCGCTCTGGTCAGCTGTTCGGCCGAGCTTTCGATGTGGTCACGGAAATGCAAGCGGATCGGTTGGTATTTCTGTCTCAAAACGAGTGCGCCGCACCGCATGCGCGTCGCCACCGCGTCGCTTCCATCATGTAAATGAAGATGAGCGCTTGCCTACATTTGAAATAACAAACTTCATCGCGCAATATGATGCGATATGTGAACGGCCCCTAAAAGCGGACATTGCATCTGTAATGAAAGGCAAGAACAGCTATTTATTTGGCTTTACTCTGTTACATGCAAATTTAAATATGTAATGTCATAATTATAATGTTTTGAGCGTTTACTTATGTAATTGTTGCATTAGGCTATGAATTAATAAACATTTATTGATCAGAACTATTTCATGTCTTTTCATTTACAGTTGCATGAACGTAGTCGAGTAACTCGAGAGTTGTTTTGTTAAGAAATCGACTAGCAGAATATCAGAAGTCGTGCAACACACACACACACACACACACTCTCTGATTAACATGGAAAAGAGGCATTTTATCGCGCGGCGTGGCGTGTGGTTAGGACACGGTGTTATGCTTCAAATCAACCCTGTCTCTATGGTTTTCTCTGAGCCGTTTGCTGCAGATCGTCTCCAGACGGATATTTCTGGCGCTGAATGTGTGTGTCTGTACATGAACACAACACACCCTGAGACCAAAACATGTTCAGCACATGCATGTGATTCTGAAACATCTCTGACATGTGCGTATCAAGCAGATTAAATCATCCAGTGTGTGTGTGTGTGTTCATGAACGAGTGTGTTTTTTGACTCGTCAGAAACACAAAATGCATGATCAGATAAAGGGCCGAAGCAGATCCAGAAGGAAGTCAGAAACCCTTAATGCTACGCTGTACAGAAGCCGTGTTGAGGTGAACCGCTGTCTGTTGTGTAGCGAGAGCTGAGACGTGTTCAGACTGGCAGATACTCCTATTTATGGACGTATTGGGATTGCTTAGTTTGCAAAATTGCAGTGTTTCAAGTGGATTTAAAGAAGTTTTAAAGGAGATTTGTGACTTAGTTATGTGTTGGACGTGAGCCTAAATCAACTAGTTGTTTTATCAAATCTGTAGTTTTGCACGTTTCTAGTCTTGTATGTGGAGATTGATTGATTTGATGCTGATGTCACCACAAATGTACCCTGTATCTTCTCTACACTGACAGTTCCTCCAGCGTCGAGTGCAAAACTGTTAATCTCACCACAGACAAGCCTAGCAAGCCGCCCACATCGGCAGTATTTTAAGGCATCGTGGATGAAGGCTGATCCAAAAGTTAGGCGGCAGAATTATTCCAGTCGCTCATCATGTCCTTCACAGAGGAGTCGATTGTTTAAAGGTTAATGTGAGCTTTTGTGCAGTCGAGCGTCCGTCACTTGCGGAGGGAACGCGTACAGTGAACAAAACAAACTGGCGCTTCTCTTTTGTTAAGCTGCATAATTGCTGTCATTCTGCTCTATTAATGCAGACCGAGATGAGGAGAGACAGCTCGACGTTTGTCTCTTTAAATGCCACAGAAAAGACTGAACGCGCACTCGCGTCTGTCAGTCACATTCATCGCCGGTCCCTCGCTTGATAATACAATACAGGCACATATTCCTTCCCTTGATCAGCACATCATCCACTCAAATCTCTCAAACGGGGTTTTTAAAGGAGTAGTTCACTTCAGAATTAAAATATCCTGGTACTTTACTCACCGCCACGTCATCTAAGATATTCATGTCTGGTTTTTGAGGAAAACATTCCAGGATTTTTCTCCATATAGTGACTTCAATGGGGTCCAATGGGTTAAAGGTCTTTGTTTACAGGAATAAGAGTCTCATCTAGACCACAAATGCTCGTCTTGCACGATACAGTTAGATATTCCTTCCCTTGTTCATCACATCATCCTCTAATGCAGTGTTTCCAACCTTTTTTTTGCCACGGCACAGTTTTGATAAGTTAAAAATCCCACGGCACACCACTATATAAAAATATATCCTAGGCTAACAAAATTGCACAAACATGCATTGCTTCAAATGGCATATAAAAAACTGGTCACTTTATTTTAAGGTGTCATTGTTAAGGTGTAATTATATATTTAAGTACTGAGTGATATTAATTAACTAAATGTACCTTAGTTAAGGGTTAGGGTTTGGTTGAGGGTTAGTTGCATGTAATTATGCATAATTTACTGTTATTACTATGGTGTAACATATGTAACAAAGACACTGTAAAATAAAGTGTTACCAAAAAACTAGATATTATAATAAAAGTAGTACTCGCAATTTAAAATGAACCTTGAGCTTAACTCAGGTAGGAACACAGTAAGGTCATAGTATGACATGACGGGTCAAATTGACCCTAATTGGATTCAATACAATTCCTCAAAAATCACACTATGTTCAACAAAGATTCAGGTACAAACTATAAACTTTCAATATCAACATTTGTCAAACATTACAAAAAAATTATATCTGAACATATGATTGATGAAAATTGTTTTTAAACCATTTTTTAAAAACTGTTTTGTTTTGACAAAATTTGACAAAAACAGTATACTGACTTTTTTGCATTTTTGCGTTTCCATTTGTTTATTTTTACATTTTATGCTTAGAACATAAACTGAACAATTAAGTTGAGCTGTATAATGAAGATAATGTTTGAAAATCCTACATAAAAGGTTTGGTTAAAAGCTAGGTATCTCAGATATCTTGAATATAGAAATGAGAGCTTATTTTACTATCTGTGTCTGACAAAGATTTTCATCTGTAATTTGCAATTAATTCTGAAAACCGTGATTTAGCTTGTTCAAGTGTGTTTGGTTCGGGTTAGAGCACTTGTAGAGACACTTGCACTTTAGAACTGGAGTTGAAGTGCCCTGACATGCATAAAATAAATAGTTTTTAGTACACTACGTGAAATCTCATGGCCCACAGAGAAGGAAATGAATAGTTGAATAAAGTCGTTATTTTTGTTTGTTTTTTTGCGCACAGAAAGTATTCTCGTCGCTTGATAAACTTAAGGTTGAGCCGCTGTAGTCACTCAGACTATTTTAACGATGTCTTTCATAACTTTTCTGGGCCGGCAAGTTTCAATTACAATAGAAGCCTATGGAGGAGTGATCCAGCTCTCAGATTTAATAAAAAATATGTTAATTTGTGTCCCGAAGATTAACGAAAGTCTTACGGGGAACAACATGAGGGAGAGTCATTACTGACAGAGTTCACATGTTTGGGTGAACTAACCCTTTAAGGAGCTGTTTATTGAATTATGTCTGCTCTGTTTTTAAAGTTGCACACTCATATATAATAGATGTTTTTAGCTGTTGTTCTGCTGTTTTTTAGGGCTGCATGATATTGAAGATAAACGCGATAACTCATTAAATAATGCGATATGCGATACGATAATGCTTAAAGTATGTAAAATAAACTTAAATTATCTTAAATTATATAACCAACATGCGTGTTTCACATTCTTTTTGTAACAAGAAAACGTCCCTACAGCCTCTGAAGTGCACATCAGTGTTTTACTGTCGCGTGAGAAGAGTTATTAACATCAGTGTAAAGCTCGGGGTTCAGCTTATCCTACATTAGGGTTATTAAACAACAGAAACTGAATAATCAAATGTAAAAATTAGGGCTGTGTTGAAAAAATCGATTCACCAATTCTGAATCGATTTTCATATTAATTTCTAAAGATCGATCCGTAACTCAGAGGATCGATTTAATAATAGGCTTACATTTTCCCCGTGAACTTGCCGCGATTGGGAGATCCCTGTGCGCATTGAAAGGCTTTCACTCAGCGCGCACATTGTTACAACAACGGGCTTTGAGTGAGTCATTCGTTCATTCA